CAAAATTGGGAATTTGTATTATAGCCCAAAAATATGCCAAATAACATGAATATCAGAAAATTTTCAAACATGGAAGAATTCAATTTCAAAGAATTTAATAAATTTTGTTATACATACATATGAAGGCCGCAGGCGGTAAGTCGTATTTCTTATTTTTTACACAGAATAGTTTTAAAATTTAGTACGTCGCCAATCAATCTCGTATTGCTAAAACTGTCTGTATATTTATGTTTTACTGTCTGTATATTTATTGATTATATATTAAAATTAAAAAATCAATAAAAGTATATTTATTGTGTTTTTCTCTTGTGATCTTTGTACTGGAAGCGAAAATTTTAAAGAATATTCGGCATCGATCTTTAGACGCGCAAGCGCCAACCGGCAGATTTACCTAGTTTTCGTGACACCGTGTACGCGTGCGGTCGAAACCGAGGTGATCATCTATTTTCGTTTTCATCCAGAATTCCGAAGCTGCCGAGGTAAGGATCGTTGTTTTACAAATTCGCGACATAATGCAGCTGTTGCATAACATAAATGAAAGAACCAACACTTAACGTGAACGTATGTACTATCAAGGTTAAAAACCAATTGCACTGTGTTACTCCCAGTCTGAACGTAAATGACACCAGTACCACCTGTACCAGAGAAAAATATTCGTCAATTAAGAATTCGTGATTTACATTTGTCGACACATATACAAACACAAAACACATAAAAATGTTTAAGATATGTAAATTTCGTTCTGTATCGTTAGATGGATGATATTCAATTAGGTATGTCGTATTAATATGTTTCTGATTCATATATATAATTACATATATTCAGTTAAAGTATTAAACATATCGCACATGTATTTCAGAAGTAACGCAACTCAACAAATTTTTTAGGAAAGCGAGTAACTGTTTGTAGGCTTATAGAAAAATAATTAGCCCTTGTAATTCATCTTTAACGTGTGTTCTTCTAACATAGGGCTGGATTATTTGGAGTTACGACGCTTAGGAAATACATATGCGATATATTAAAAAGTAATTGTATAAGCGAAAGAGATATTATGTACGTAGCACAGATTCAATGTCTGCCATTCTCGACGCATGTGGAAATGATACTGGATCCCCCTCGATATCAAAGGCTGAGGATAATCTATCCAACAGCGACGGACCACTGATTAAAGGCTGCATTCGTCAAAATAGTTGCAGTAGCGTTCACATAAGGTATAAATGAACATTTCATATTGATAATCGAATTCGTAACACTTATAACAACAATGATAATACTTTTAGTTCCGAAAACATTAATCGAACAACAATCGTGTCATCCTATACCATGTCGGCATCCAACGAGAAGTTAATAAAACGACGGTATTGTTTGTGGACCTTAACTTTTATCCTAGCGATAATTGGACTTTGTAACCTTTTTCTCAACATCACCGTAATCGCTGTCCTACGAATCAGTCAAGGAATGGAAGCAATGGAAGTGATACCTGACGAGAATCTTGTAAAGTTTTATGGGAAAACCGACTTGGACAGGGTCAGATATTCTAATATACCAGAAATATTCTTGTAAGATTGTAATTAACGATATGTATTGCATTCGTAGGTATGCTTACAATCAGGTGTTTGTCAGAGTTACGGAGACGAGCCGATGGAAATATCCGGTAACGAAGCTGGTGTGCAAATACGCGTGAATGTGAATAACCATCGAACAGACGATGAAACGCTTGCTAAAGTAACGATTTTGTCGAACGGTACCACTATGTCAAAAGTAGAATCTTTCGAAGTGAAAGACCCCAGAACCGGCACTATTTATTTCACTACCGATTTCCCCAATTTCGGATTACCTGCAGGAGTGAAGAAAATCGACGTAAAAATCGCAGAAACGCACAGAATCACGTCACCAGTTAACGAAAGTCTTACCGTAAATTCGGATGATCAAATTTCTATGCAAGGCGCAGAAGGCGCTAGCATGGAAAGCAAAGATATCGTCTGGAGCGCGGATACAGATATTTTTTTGAGAAGCGTCAACGGAAGCATTATCCTTGATGCCAAAGATGGTGTCTCTATCGATGTAGAAAACATACCAGTTGCACCACTGTTTCTACAAAATCCATCTGGTCATGAACAATATAAAGTTTGCATTTGCATGCCACAAGGGAAACTCTTCAAAGTAGCAGTTCGTGCTGGTGTGAGCAGTCGATCAGTAAATTGTGCTCGTATCAATCGAACTCCGGAAAACGATCCTTGCTTGCGATAGGATCGGAGCACCTAGCTTTTATTGCGATCTTTTTAACATATCTAACACTGCCAAGTGTACGAAATCGAAAAGGCAATAGCTAATTTGCTATTTAAATTATCAAATATTAGTGAAATATTTGAAATAAATTAAGAAAAATATGTTTCCATATGAATCAATTTAGAAAACATTGTGGGGACTTAGATCATGCATTATACTAATAATAGATAGATATAATTCGGATTTTATTTGAAATGTCATATACAAGTCCATACATTTTCATCGCGTAAAATTATCGGCACTAGTCGTTGATAAAAAATCATACATTCTTGAAATTCGTATGCAATACTGAATACATTAACTTTTGTATCAGATGATCAAGATCATGAATACATCATTATAGAAAATAGTACACAACTTTTGCCCTATAGTAGCAAGGACATTAAATGAAAACACAACTACAATGAATAAAAAATTAAGCACTCTCTGTTATCATCTCTTCATTACATTCTTCCATATCTTCTTGTTGCTCTTGTTCTGTAGGAGGTTCGTATGCTTTGTCTAAAGGACTAGCAACTACACCACCTGCCCATACACTCATCTCTACAGCAAGTTTATTAGTGCCCTCAAGTAATGGCCTGTAGCCTCCATGAGCTAACACACGTAATAATGTCTGGGCTGTAAGACATACCAAATCTTGTTGTTCTAATGTCATAGCTGTATGTACACGTATATTGCCACCTTCGCATGGATCGGAAATACCTTAATGAAACCATGATAAAATGTTATATATAGAGTTTATAGAATATTATTTCATTAATATATAGTGAAAATACTTGTAAATATGATGTAAGTCAGAAGGCAAAAGACAAGAATTATGATAAGTAATAATACAATGAATCTTACCAGCAGATCCTGGAAGAAAGAGTCCAGAAGCAAGTAACTGAAGTACTCTTTTATATGCCTGATTTATTGGTAATGCTTGTCTACTAGGGTTATTCATTATAGCATTGTGTGCCAATAAATCTAACATCCAAGGAGATAATGGCTCTAGACCTTCAAATCTACTTCTCAAATCTCTAAGTAATCTTATTAGAACTTTTATACTGGAATGGTGAGCATTCTCCTCAAACCACCGAGAATGTCTGATTGCAGCAAGATGTCCTTGACATATCTTTACATCTAAATGCTGGTCTGACTCTAATTTTCTCAAGTTCTGATGTAGAGTAGTGATCAATACACGCACTGTGGCTTCATTATTAGCAATATCAAAGCCACGCTCTGTATGAGTCAGTCTGAAAATTTCTTTGGGATTAACACTCTTCAAGTCATTATTAACTTTTGTACCAAGTGCTTCAACCGCTGTCTTAGTAGGTAATGTTTTAAGAATCACAACAATATCAGCTACATTATGACCCTTGATCATTGTTCCCTTTTTAAAGCTACCTACTTGTCTCACTTCTTCCAATTGCTATAAAACATTACTTTCATTGAATAAATAAAAATTACAAAATATGTAGTTAGATTATACAAAGAATTCATATTTACACAAGCTTCAAAACTGCCTGGAGCAACTATTAAATTATCCAGTACAGTCTGTAGTTTAGTCACTAGATTTAAAATGGAAGTTTGTTCCTTTGGTGTAGGGCACATATCTGTATTCTTTTTTAACAGTGCCATTTGAAAATCTGACTCATCTGGTGCGGGTTTAACACGAGGAAATGCAGCTTCGCACAAAGTATAATCAAATGGATGGCGTGGAAGGAATTGTTTCCTAGGAAACCCCATTCCACGTCCCATACCACCTCTACCTCCTCTAATCATTCCACCTCGACCACCTCGTACCATATTATGTCTAAACATAGAAATAAAACCATTCAAAAGTATTCCAGAAACATTTATTACAATATATTAACATTTTGAAAAATGTCGATTTATCGATAAGAAGTTGTTTAAGTCATTTATCTACAAGTCGAATGGATAAATTAGTGTGACATAAATTAGTAACATAAATGAATTAATATAATAATTAAAATAAAAGAAATAACCTAACCACTTTTTCGTAATATAAACTAAATTCTAACTCAGCAATAATTATCTAAAGTTTGAATTTTTATGATAGAATGTGTTACACTTACCAAAAAATAGAAATATACGTTTAAAATAATGTTATTTTATACTTTTATCAGTAAAATTTCAATTTTTCAATTACATTAACATACGACACTTAGAGTAGCCGCAAACCAAGCAACATTGAATATATTGAAATCTTCATTATAAACTTAGTATACCAAGATACTCTTCTCTAATGTTATACGAGCAATATCTTTGGCGCCATCTAACTAAAATGTTTCTGTACATTTCTTTGAATAATAGCAGATAATAACAAATAAATAAATAGAAAGTTATAAAATATTATTTTGTAAGAAATATATAAAAACAATATTTGAAAATGCTAGATGGAAATTACACATAAAATGTATAGTTAAGTTGGTTTCAAGACAATGGTGATAATTGCTTAATATATCTCATTTTTTACACAATTTATATTTCTTCTCGTATCTCCTATCTTTTTTGTGTAACATTATTGAATAATTATTAAATGTAATTTTAGTAATTGTGAAATATCATTTATTTGCATTAATTAATAGGCAACTAAAACTTTTTATAGTGTATGCAATGTGTGAAATAAATTTAAAAAATTCCATACACAAATTTATACCAAGAAACGATTATAACAAAATTTTAATTATATATACTATATGTAATTTGTAACTGTAGACATGTTCATTCCAAATCAAATATCACACATCAGATCAACACCAAACATCCATCATACATCCCACAAATTTACAAGTATAATAGTAACACGACTCAAATGTAACTGAGAAAATAAGTAATATACTTTTTAATTATTATTGTCCTTTGCTTCATTTGGCCAGAATGTCCAAAGTTTCCCTGAGGTCAAAAACAACCAGCTCACGACTAACATTAAATCGTAGAAGGTATGCATGAAACATTCCTAATAAATATTACAATAATACAATATCAACTTTTTATTATACAGAAAGCAACATGCAAAGAAACTCATTTTGAAACCTTACGACTTTTGTTGTTCAGTTGATAATGTTGATCCATTAACGCAATATGACAGGCTAAGATCACTTTATAGATCACCATTGATGTCTCTACAAACAATAACTGAAAGCCCAACTTTGAAACTGCGAACAGAATTTACTAACTATATGGAACGTAAATTGAGAAGGAAAAGCCTTAAAAACAAGCAATTTGATATAGGAGATCATAGACACAAAAATAAGAAAAGTTTGCAGATTTCAGAAAGACTAAGGAAGTTATATAAAGCAAAGAAATTACATAAACAACATAAATTAGAAGATACTGATGATGATTTTGAATTTGAAGATTTACATGATAAAAAAGTTACGTCTCTTCTTCAAAGACCATTGCAATGGTATTTAGAAGATGAAATTATTGGAGCAAAAGATATTTTATGGGAACAAAAACAAAGAGCATACAATGAAAAAATGAATAAAAATGTTGAAATTGGAAAGCAAAAAAGTAAATATTTTAATTTTAATTTATTTAATAATCTTATAATTTCATTAGTGTAATAAAATCTTAAGATATTATGATTTCCCTTTCTAGCAGAAAATATGTTAAAACAACAAACAGACAAGTATCCACGATGGTATCAAGATTTTTCTATTAACCAAGTATGATATTCATCTTTCATTGATCAACTATAGTATTAAACCACGATTAAAATATGAAATACTTCCAAATCTATAGATTAAAAATTTAAGGATGTTACAATGTATAATGCAGAAAGATTGTGAAGAAATGGTAACAGGACGTACTCAAAGAACTCTTATATCAATTGGAATTATATCTACATTTTTTACACTTACGTCAGATGTTATTAAAAAATTGCAAGAATCTTGTAACTGCAATGTAATCGAATTTTTAAGAGAAATTTATAAGATATTAACTGGAAATTATTTTGAAGAGGAAGGATACAGTATGCTGTATTTTCATACTCTAAATCTTTTTATTACATCTTTACTTTAAATTTTATTTTTAAATTTTAGAAAACTTTTATGATTGTAATGAAAGAATAATTTTATCAGCGATTGCATTCCTGACTTTACCAGAAGCTATTATAGAGCTTCACAAACGTTTACCCCCTGTAACAATGTCAGAATTTCCACCAAAACGTAACTTTTTCTATATTATATAAATTTATGTATTATTATATTTTAACATATTACTATGTAATGTTATTAATTTATTATTCTATTACATATCATTTATATAGCAATTCCACCAACATTATCAATAAGGCAGAAGATGAAATCGCCTTATAAAGAAAAACTTTTTATACGAACAGATTGGGCAACTTTTTACAATCGCTTACAAGATTGGCAAGAGCAACATCGATTAATACCAATTCCGAATATAATATTACCTCCTAAAAATTGCCTTTTAAATAATTATTCCAGTGCAAAAGTTAATGCTTATTACGAAGGAAACAAACACGGTAAAGTACAAAACGTTTCGGAAAATTATCAGTTAATTCAGATTAAAAATAATCCTTCTATTCAAACAAAGCAACCACATAATATTTCTACCAAAACAAATCAGGAAAGAGATACCTCCATTAGTACAAAACAGAAAAAATATACTTTTATTGATACGAAACAAAAGGATGATGTACCAGTCAGAATTAGGAGGAATAATCCATCTGATAATTCTCCATACTCTTTTGAATTAAATCAAGATCAACATAATTTTGTAGCGAACGAACTTACAGAAAATAACGAAAATGAAAAATTTAAGAGCATAATAGGTAACGCAATCAGTACAAAACAGAGAATACCGCATAACTCACAAATATCTACTGGCCTTAATGTTCCATCCTTATATGGTGAAAATAGATTATTTGATTTTACAATCAATGGAATTAGCGAAAAACCAGGGCCTATAGAATATAAAATATGTGGAGTTTTACAACCACCTCAATCAAATAAAAAATCTTGGCTTGGCGAGAAACATGCACATTACATAATATCTGGTGCTTCAGATGAACCACCAACTTGCCCTGTAACGTATGAAATGACTGGTGTTGCAAATGTAACACCCACTAACAGCAACGAGAGATTCTTTGCAGTATTGAAACTTGGAGATGGACCTAAAAAGATTTATCCAAGTGGAAGGCAGAATTTATCTCGTCATTGGCAAGAATGGCTGCAAAATGTGGATGAAGAATTTCGGAAAATAGAAAGAGAGGCAAACAAAATGATAAAAAATATAGAAGCTATAACGAAATTAGTATTTCCAGGACCAACATGTGACAGTTGTTGTTCCTGTAGACAAACTAGAAAATCATACTTAAAAGCAAAAGAAACGAAAGCGCCTTATTTTGTGATAGATACTATAACCGAAGACGACAATAAAAAAAAATATATTGTAGGATCAATGGCAATGCATTCTCCTGCACTAACACCTCCAGAATCAACCGTGAATTTATTAGAAGTTATAGCTTCGGAAGATGTCCTTACTGACAACCTTATAATAAGTGGTGTCACAAATGAAACAGGTGAAACACAGTATTTTATTACTGGTTCTCAGAAAGAAGTAATACGCATGCCAGCACGAGTTATAGAACGTCCACCACCTAGACCGCTTAGGAATGTTCCACCTTGTATATGTGCAATTCAACAAATATTTACTAAAGGCTTGTTTCCAAATGTAAGCCATGATAATATACCATGGACAAAAGAGGAAGGTTTGTGTTTTGGAAAAAAGTTTAGACCCCAAGAATCTCCTGCGTATTCCTGTAAAAAGTATCCAGGTAATAAGTCATGTAGAAGAAGTCCATTTACACATGACATAAATAGATTAAAAAGAAGAGTTGAAATGGCAAAACAAAAGCAAGGAGATGAAGCTACAGGGAAGAAGAAAATGTATAGTATCGCAGATTTTCAACCATGTGGGGATGAACATGGTATGAATATTTGCGGAGGACCTTGGAATGCTTTGCATACTCTAACATCAGAAGAACTAAAAGAACAGGAAAGATTACGGAAAGAAATATTAAGAGTAGGTTTTATTTTTGTATACTTATTATGAAAATTACAATAATATAATATAAAATTCATTATTCAGGGTCCTTCTTGTGGAAAAAGACCTGGACAAGCTGTCTGTGAAGGTCCTTTTGGAGAACGAATACCATTAAAACCACAGCAAATATTTATAGAAGAAGAAATTCCAGGAGAAGATATTGAAGAAGAAGAAGAAGAAGAAGTAGAAGGAGAGGAATTAATAAAGCCTCCTCCAGTTGAGGTAAAAGGAAAAGAAAAGGAACGCGACAAGAAGTGTCACATGAGTCCAGAAGCTATAGAAGCTAGAAGACAAAGGGTAGTAGAGAAAAAGGTTAAAAAATTTGTTCCTGATCCGAGCTATCCTGGTTACGATGATCCGTGGAATATATTTCGTACAGCACCATCGGAAAAAGAATCTGAAACTGATTTTAAAAAGTTATTAAAACTTAGTTCTCCAAAACCACCAGGTACGGCTGTACAATCTAAAACATTGATGGACGAAATTGGAAAATCTGCACTACATGAAGATATTTCTAAATCAGAGATAAGAAAAGATCACCCAACTGTAAAAGAGTCAAAAAAAATATCTCCTACACATTCTGCACGAAATACGTCAGAACAAATTTCGAAAAAACGAAATCGAGAAAAATTAAAAAGCGAAGAAAAAATAAGTGAAAAAGGATTTAAAAAATCTGATAAGAAAGGATTTAAAAAAATCCAGGAAAGAATGATTGAGACAAAATCAAAAAAAATGGATAAAAATGTGATTAGAAAAAGCGAGGAAAGTAAAAAGAAATACAATCAAGTAACGAAACGTGATACAACAAAGGATAAGATACAAGATCAAAGTACTCCAAAATTAGTAAAAGATAAACACGATCAAAAGTTGAATATGAAATCTATAGGAAATCCTTCACTTCCTAAATATTTGGAAAAACTAAGCGATGGATCAAATCCGAAAAAATCTAATATTGGTAAAGAAACATCTGCCATTAAGTCTCAACAAAACATGCGTAATGTAAGTGAGGTTGATAAACGACATAAGAAAAGAATGAGTTCAAAGAAATCAAATCACAGATCTATTACATCATCAAACATAAAAAAGAAAACAATAAGTAAACAGTTGAGTACGAGAAAATCGGTAAGACGAGATAAAAAGAAAGATGTGATTAATCAAGATGTAGATCCTGAAACAATTTATAGGAACAAGATAAATGAATTGAAAAATATAATGAAATCTTCTGAACAGTATCCATATAATATAAAACCAGCAGAGATCCCAGATGATCCTCCAGCAAAATGTCAACTAGAATACGAAGATTCAGAAACTACGATTGACACTGTACAAGTTGAAGAAAATGCAGATATACAATTACCAACCAAAGGTCCTTGTGGTTGGAGGACAAAGTCAGAACAGCAATTACCAACAAAGAAAACTTTGATATATCTGACTGATCCAGATTATCCTCCAGAAACAGTACCAGTTAGGTCAGGTGGAAAACCATGTGTTTGTCGGGACAATAGGGCAAAAAAGAAAATATTATTATATAATATCGGAGGACTCATAGGTGGAAAGAAAAATGGCGAAGAAAAGAAGTTATTAAGAAAGAAGAAAGACGAAGACAAAAAGATGCAAGTTATTGATGGGGTCATTTATTATACTCCACCACCAAGTCCTCGTAGAAGCAATGAATATGTACCCGAATATGATCTTTATGAATCTCCATATGATATGTGTCTTACGCAACGTAAAGACCGAAGTCTTAAATTTCTCGATCAATATGGTAGACCGAAAATATCTGAAGTTTCAAAAAATAGAGAATCTTGCGGTTGTAACGAATACGTAGAAACGTATGGTATTCAAACTATAAATGAAAATGAAGGAAAAGCTCAATTGTTGAAAGAACTTGAATCCAAAGACAAGTTAATAACCGCGAAACCACCGAAAGATCGCTGGAATCTGGCGCTTAAAGATGTAGGCTTGATAGATTATTTCACACGATGCAGAGACAGTTTGCCTTGTTGGCTGAAATGTGCCAAATTTAATAAAGTTGGCTGTCCTATATCATATAGAAAACTTAAAACAAAACGACCAGTATGTGAATGTAAGTATGAAAGAAAAATACTCGAACATAAGGAGGAAAAAGTGAAATGGAAGCAGCGTCAAAAACGATTAAAGTCTTTGAAAAAGCAACCATATGTGAACATAGCTGACATTTCGAAACTATTGATACCAAATACAAAATTAATGATATCAGACGTAAAAAGAATTCCAAGAGAAGATGAATACATAGACGATATTAAATATTGTATAACTGGAGTTGCCGAAAACTATGACCATTTACCACCTAAACAAATAGTAGGTGGTATCCATATGGTTACACCTATTCAGACACCTGAACCAAGCGAACATGAGATATCATGTGTTTGTTTGCATCGACATTGGTCGCCTATGAAGATTACTCCTGGTCCATTACCAAAACCTGAAGAAATTTTACTTGCTGAAAAGAAATACAGACAAGAAGCTGTGAAAGAAGCGTTCCGCCAAATTTATGCTCCTCAATCAGCATATCACATACATGATGATCATAGTTGCAAAGAAAAATGTGGTGGATATCTTGAAATCGAAAATGACAAAAATACAGGAAAAGACAAACAAGTTGTGCAGGATAACAGTCGTTATATAGCATCTTATTTACAAAAACCTACTAGTATCAAAGGCAAATTAACAAATTCCGCTCGACATATTAAATCAAATATTGATGATCTTCAAATTAAAACAGAGATTAAAAATTTACCAATGCAGAAATTCTCTGAAACTAAAGCAAGAAGTTCGCATAAAGAAAATAAAGATACAAATGTGGCAGGGCAAAAGACTTTTGAAAATAAAGTAAAGAGTTCACGTAAAGAAGATAGAGACTTCAAGATTGAAAGAAGAGATCAGAAATATGTAAATGTTCCTCAGAAACAAACTAGAGGCGATATTCAAAATGATCCTATTGAATTAAATGTAGAGAATATAGATATTTGGGATAAAGAAACTGAAGAAGATTCTGATGATTCTAAATGTTATTTAATGGCTATAGTGAAGGTAAAATATTTTATTTTAATATTTAATTTTATTTTTTATACTTTGTATTTATTTGGATGATATATTATAATTTTTCAAATTTTTAAATGCGGTCAGATCGAATTAAAAAAAATGGCGGCAGAAGGATTTCTGTTTGCAAAACTACCCAAGTGTTTTTTAATGCCACAGTTGCAATATTGGTTGATGTATAGAAAAGGGCTCAGTTTTAGTGATGCGGCTAAAAGTAAGTAAAGTATTTTCACGTAATGTGTCATATGCATATTATATTATAATATTCATATAATATTATAGGATTATTTATTCAGAAATATTAGAAATTAGGATTTCCAATGATTTCTATTCTGTATGATAAATTTATTAATAGATGGATCTATTTATAGTGAATTAAACAGGAAACGATGATTATTTAACGTGAACTAAATACAATAATGTGATATAACTAGGCAACTAAATTGATAATTCACAACTCACAACTAATAGTTTACAACTCATAACAACTCGGCAACTCTGTCTCAACTGAACTCTCCCAACTCAACTTTCTCAACTCAACTCTCGACTCGCAACTAACTAACTCCTCACAACTCGAGTCTCAATTAACGAATCCTCACAACTCGACTCTTAATTAACGACTGCCGATTAATTTGCCTTTCTCCCTTAAGCATCCCTTTGTCGTCTTCTCATACCTTCACCACATATTCGTACATAACGCGATCATGGTCACTACACATTCTTTCGCGTAACTATTCGATTGAAGGACCGACGACACCGACGATGGGCCGCTTGGTCCATTGAAGTTTCCTGACCCTTTCGGCCTGTCGGCACTTAGGCTTTCTCGCAACATTGTCTATAGTTCACCCGATGTTTCTTAGGCAATCTGTCCACGATACTACGATAATATATAAATCTTTATAGGAGAATATTACTAGTAGTAATAGTAATACATTATTGATTTAAGTGGTGTATTACTGCATTCTGATAATTGTACTATTAAACCTTTGCACTCGAGGACTTTTCGGTCGGGCGTAGCTGCTACTCCGGATGATTTAGCGTATACGTGACGCGTGTCTTACAGCTAGCGTAAAATGATTTTATATGCAAATTAACTTACAAAAACATTATATTCTAATAATTTATCTATATTTACATTTTTGAAAATATGATTTGGTAATATTAATTTCTGTATTTTTTTTGTATGATAATTTATAAAGCACTCAGCAAGTTGCATTCTTGAATATAATTCATCTCAATCAAGATCAAGTTCTGAATCATGTTCATCTTTATTTGAGCTAATTTTACTTCCGAAAACCATTTTTTTAGGGTTTCTAAACTATAATACTTTTGTCATGATCATCGAATCCGAACTAACGTTGCAGACGTTGTCAGAACCATAGTTTCGGAGAGATATGGGATTAAATATTTTATCTTCATTTTAAATTCTAACACTTTACATTTCTTAACAAAGAACATAAAGAGCTAAGGAACCAATTTACAAACCAATATTGCACTCTCATCAATTTGAGATTTCGAAATCTAGTATAAACAGGAACTGTCGTCTCTCGCTCGCCACTGGATTTGCAGCACGGAACGCCGTGGTGACCGAGAGTTGCCTCTCGTGTGCAAAGGGTTAAGAGCTTAGTAGTGGTCAGTAATAACCTGGGAATAAACTACTTACTGGTCTTATTAGTAAATGACTGAGTAGTACTGGAACTATATATAACTATATATTGAGATCAAATCATTACTGGAGAAGAACTCACAACCAGCAGTTTTGGGTACTTCTTTAGTATTATACCTTTCAATAATTTGCACTAGTTTTTTTCTGTAAGAGATATTTCTTGTAAATGTCTGGAACCATAGCTTCAAAGCAAAGAATAAAAATTTCCTGTTATAATGTTTTTAGACAAATCAATACGCAACAGTATTAAAATGTGGAACACGCTAGATATGGGAGCCGCTAAATCTAAAGTTACTGTACCATCGTTGAAAATGACAAAAATTCAACTTAGAAAATTAACTTATGATGATGCGCAAGAAATAAAAACAAAGGTTCCCTTTAACACAGTATAGATACAAAAAAGTGTTTAATTTCATTATCTATATCAAATATTTTATTCGTTTATAGATCGCACTGAAAAAAGCTATATTCTATAGTCGAGTTCGTAAAGAACGCGTTTTATATTCACGATCGATGTGGAATTCGATGGAGTATGGAAAATTTCCATCGGTATCGTTCAAGCAAGCGTATTTTACTTATATGGCTAGCAAAGAAGGCGATGGTTACGTTTTTAAACCGTGGCTACCTTCTGAAGTACACGAAATGAATTAAAGAAAATAAAATAAAAATATTCGCAGAAATTCATATTTAAATAATCGATCTGAATGGTCGAGTAATTTTTGGACAATCGAGAAGAAGAGCTCGAACGAAATAATCGATACTTACGATGCTTAGATTTTTAAGTCTGTTATAGCATCGTAAGTACTAGAGAATGGATTTCGAAAGTCCAGATGTAGAAAAAGAATTTCCTGGGTTATACGCTTCGGAATCAGCGAAAAAAAGTAACGAAAGCGATTGTACGTATTACCGTTTATCGAATTATCTAATTTCCTTCGCATGACAGTTATTTTAACAGATAGGTTATGCATCTGTCATAAAACTCGCTAGTCAAACAGCGAATATTTTTTCTGAACAAATATGTTTTAATTAAGTGCTTAAAAATACTGTATTTATATTTCGAATAATTAGTTGTCATCTGTACATATGTATATATTTTCCAGTTAGTGATGAAGGTGGACATGAAAAACATTCTAAAAAAGAACTTCTTAGCGGTAAACGAAAAGAAAAGAAAGATCGAAAGGATCGAGGATATGCCACCTTAGAGGGTGAAAGTTCCCCTGATGAAGATCAGGAAACAAAGTAATGTTTTTCTACAAAGTTCTTTACAAATTATAGACATTAATTGATTTATGTTAATCTTACTTCCATGTTGTTTTGTTTATTTAACTACAAATGTTCATTAAGCCATTGATTTCATATTTACATAGCGTTCCCTGTAATGAAAGATATTGGGGTATAAATTAGTATCATCAAGTTATTTTAATTTTCACATATTGTTGGCACTGATATCTTAATTAAGCATCATATTAATCTAAAATTAGTTGTATTGATTGGACTGTTTATGTGTCTGCTTAGTTACCATTTTAAATATAATCATCCTGAAATGGAAAACAGACTTGTCACAAATATTTACGATTTGATATTGTTGATTATTTTAGTCTTTATTTCTATAGTAAATATATACTTTATTGTGAAAGTATTAGTCCTATACATACAAAGAAGTGATGGATAGATTATAAATTCAAAGGAAAAATAAAAAAATTAAATATTAGATTTTATAATGCATAAAGTAAATGTACCTTTTCATATATTATATACAGCTACTTTATTACTTGAATTAGCATATGCTTTAACTCACAGAAGTCCTTCAAAGTCAAAAAAAACCAAAGCTTTCAAATTTCCATCAAAGAAAGAAAAACGTGAAAAATCCAGAGAAAAAGAGGGTAAAGAGAAGGATGGTGAAAAGGAAAAAGACAAAAAGAAAAAGGACAAGGATGAGAAAGATATAGAGAAAGAGAAACGTAAAGAGAAAGAAAAGGATAAAGCAAAGCAAAAATTAAAAGATCGTAAAAAAGGAAAGCACACAGGGGAGGATGGCTTGGATATTGGGGGTAAGACATGTATATGTATTCTTTGAAATTATTTGATAGTAACTTTAATTAACTTTAACTGGTGGTAATTTCACTAATCTTTGATCATCAATGTAGAGGAGCAACCAATATTTGGTGTTAGCCTGCATTTAGCAGTGGAAAGAAGTCGTTGTCATGATGGTGTTGAACTACCTTTAATCGTAAGAGACTGCATTGATTTTATAGAAGAACATGGAATGAATGTGGAGGGTTTGTATAAAGTACCAGGAGTGAAATCAAAAGTTCAATATTTAAAGAAATTATACAACCATAGAGAACCAGTAAATTTATCTGAATTTGAACCTACAGTAGCCACAAGCTTATTGATATTGTTCCTTAGGTTTGTATTTCACAATATTAGATGTAAACGAATATCTGAAAATAAAAAAATGTAAAACTAAAATTTTGATAATACAGGGAGCTACCAGAGCCTGTTCTAGAGAGTAGTGAAATGATATCAAGGTTTGAACAAGCAGCGTCTACAAAAGATGTTGCTCAAAGGGAAGCACAACTAATACACTTAACTCAACAGCTTCCTAAGTGTAATAAAGTTCTTCTCGCATGGGTCATATTACACTTAGATCATGTTACAGCACGAGTATGTTGAAAACAAAAAAACAAAAAAGTTAGGGCATAAAATCTATATGTATCTATTTTACATAAAACTGCATTACAGGAAAAAACAACTAAAATGAATGCTCAAACCATCTCAATGACTTTAAGTCCTGTATTACAAATGAGTCATAGGCTATTATTAGCTTTGTTATTTCATTGCAAAGCTCTTTTTCCAAACGTACAATTAATAAAATATGTGCCGCCACTTTCGTCCGGTAGCGTTAATCTTCCAGATTCTGTAGAAAGTATAGCAGCTGAATTATCTAAACAAGAATCGTTACTCTCGCAAATACACATGCAAATGAACGCAGGTTTTGTTACAAAATCGCGCGAGGAACAATTATGGGAAGTACAACGTATGATAACGCAGTTAAAGGTCCGATTTTACTATTCTTTAATTTAAACAAGTGTATATGGAGAAATGATTGCATCACATATAAATTTTTATTTATTCGTTTTAGAGGAAATATAAAACGGTGCAAAAAATGGAAGGTGCAGCGCAAAAAAGTTTAGATGAAGAGGTAAAATCAAATGACGAAACTGTAGTAGAATTAAATGTACAAAAAACAAAAGCAGAAGAGGAAGACGTAGAACATGTGAAATCAGAAGTTCAAGCAACATCTACTTTAGCATTAAAAAAGAATAATAAGGCACATATTTCAGAAGACAATAAAGAACCAACAAGTACAAATATTACTCAAAATGAACGAAATGTTTATACACATGACAAGGATATTGTTGACTCTGGCGAGGCATCTACACTTGCATCACAGTTTAATGAACAAGAAAATACTTCATCTAGAATAAATGAAAATGGTACAGACGATGATTAAAATTAGTTTAGAATGTGTATAATTTATTATTTTAATTATATTATTCAGTTTCAGCAGTAGAGCCTGAGCCTGAAAATGCTATTGACAAATTAAGAGAGAGTTTAATTTATGAAGAATTATTAAATATGCAAGCATTACTAAAATCGCGAATAAATCAAGAAAGAAATGAAATTAAACGTTTAATGGAAATGTTAACGGAACGTGGTCCAGAAAAGAAAAAACCAAAGGAAAGAATGCATTCGCCGAATGAAGCAGAGATGACAGCTATGATTCAATTAGTCAAAGAAAATCAGTTACTCGAGGTAATTATGAGAAATTTGTAATTTACTCTCTCGGTTTTAAATTAGTAATCTATTTATATTTTAGAAAAAGATGACTACTTTAATTCGCAGTATCATAGAAGAAAAGGATGCCTGTATAGAACTTCGTGTTCAATTAGCAGTTCATCAATTAGCAGCTAAAACCTGACCATTAATTATAAAATAATATTTTTAATTCATCAAAGGAAACATTACACAGATTTTAAAAATATGTAACATGATGTTTTGCACAGAATGAACATATATAGTTTATAAGATGTTACTACAACCATGTTTTCTTGATTCATTCTATTCTCTTGTAAAATAATAAAAAACATATTGAACATGAACATGTGTTTTGTACTTAACATAAAAAATTCTTGTTTATACATATTCTATTCTTGTATATTATTAACACGTATTTGCATTGAATATGATAATTATATATAACAAACAAATGCATATACTTTCATATTTATATCGTTTTATATATTCATTTAAAATAAGTATACTATGTATTTTATACAATCTTAAAATAACAAAGATACTTGTAAAGTGTGGACTAAACAAACCTTGTGCGCAAAAGATTGAATAATTCGGTCAACATTAAATAACATTTAATATTTATTTCTTTTAATTGAGTAATAACATTTCTACAGATGACAACTTGATATTGGAATGTAGGACCGAAAAATATAAAGTGTTATACAATCATATTTCTTTTTCTATGTTAATACTGAATAATATATTACACTTTACACAATCACTTCTCATAAGTGATTATTCGCACAAAACACAATACATTGTTAAAATTTTATTTCAACGATATAGAGTTAACGTTAAATCGTACAACGGGGTTCTGACCTTTTAGATTTAGGTTCTGTACCAATAAATATTTGCCATTATTGTCCAGCCATTTAATTTATCAAAACATACTAATTTCCATTTTATTTGAGGTTTGATTAACAAAAATACTGTAATTTTAACAATATGTGTTTTCGAAATTTTTATAAATACTTAATTCTTTTTCGATTCAATTATAAAAAGGTCAGACCTTTTTCCATCTTTTTCATTTACAACTTTTTTTATGGAATTTAGAAGAGGAAAAATTTAATTATTGGAGAAATTAATGACGCGAGTCTCTTGGATAAAATTCAGCGAGAATGTTAGTAGGAATTCGTTTCAGCATCTCCTTAGGGAAGATACGTAATAATTGCCAACCAATATCCAGTGATTCAAAGACTGTACGATTTTCGTAACTTCCCTGAGAAATGAAGTTCTTCTCGAACTTTGAAAGGAACTCTAAATATAATAAATCATCTGGTGTTAAAGCTTCTTCACCAACAACAGCTTTCATAGCTTGTACATCTTTTCCAATGGCGTAACACGCATACTAAAATAAAATTATTTTAAAAAATTAGTAATATTTTTATTTACTAAAAACCATATGTAAGGTATAAAACTTACCAATTGATTAGACACGTCAGAGTGATCTTTTCGCGTCCATCCTTCACCAATAGCGGATTTCATAAGACGAGACAATGAAGGAAGTACATTAACAGGTGGATAAATTTGTCTATTATGAAGTTGACGATCAACATATATTTGTCCCTCAGTAATATATCCAGTTAAATCAGGAATAGGGTGAGTAATATCGTCGTTTGGCATAGTTAGAATTGGAATCTGAGTGATGGAACCATTACGACCTTCTACTCTACCAGCTCGTTCATATATAGTTGCTAAATCGGTATACATGTAACCGGGAAAACCACGTCGTCCCGGAACTTCTTCACGAGCAGCTGATACTTCTCGTAGAGCCTCTGCATAAGAGGACATATCAGTAAGTATGACTAAAACATGTTTTTCGCATTGATAAGCCAAAAATTCAGCTGCAGTCAGAGCCAGACGTGGAGTAATGATTCTTTCAATAGTAGGATCATTAGCCAAATTCAAGAAGAGGCATACATTCTCCATAGAACCATTCTCTTCGAAATCTTGCTTGAAGAAACGAGCAGTTTCCATGTTCACACCCATAGCAGCGAATACAATAGCAAAGTTGTCTTCATGAGAGTCTAAAACTGACTTCCCAGGTAATTTTACAAGACCAGCTTGACGACAAATTTGTGCAGCAATCTGTATAAAGTTCAATTATATCAGTTGTAATAACTTCAACTTCATATATATAATAACTAAATTTATATAATGTATAATTATATAGTAGTATAAATTTAAATACCTCATTGTGTGGTAAACCTGCGGCAGAGAAAATAGGGATCTTCTGTCCACGAGCAATAGAATTCATAACATCAATAGCAGAGATGCCAGTTTGAATCATTTCTTTAGGATAGATACGTGACCATGGATTAATTGGTTGACCTTCAATGTCCAAGAAATCTTCCGCAAGAATAGGAGGGCCTTTGTCAATTGGTTTTCCAGATCCATTAAAGACACGGCCCAGCATATCTTCGGACACAGGGGTCCGAAGAGTGTCACCAGTAAATTCACAATGAGTATTTTTTGCATCAATGCCAGAAGTACCCTCAAATACCTGAACAACAGCTTTAGACCCAGATACTTCCAATACTTGACCAGATCTCATGGATCCATCAGCAAGCTTCAATTGAACAATTTCTGCAAACTTTGGGAATTTAACTTCATCCAATATTACCAATGGCCCATTTACACCTGACACAGTTTTGTATGCTGTAAAAATAAAAAAAGAACTTATTATTTTTTTAGTTTAGTACATTTCACATATATATTTCAAATATAATGAAGATCTAGTGTTCAGTACGAAATCTCATTTAAACAAATGTGTATTTCGTATAGAATTGATATATATTATACAAAAATTTTGTTGAATTATTATATCTGTGCTTGCATGTATAGTCACATGATACACATCTCGACACGCATAAAGAACTTGTTTCAATTTCGAATTAATCTACTAAAGTTAAATACATGGTCATTCAAAATATTCTTATGCATCTGAATCATTTTTTCTCATTTATTGTAATTAAAATCCAAACATATTCAGAATCAGCTGACTACTGGCAAATCGATCTGCTGCTACGCCCAGTTTACGTCGAACACTTTGCGTTTCGCGAAATTTTCTATTTCTGGATTTTGGTAAAATAAACGTATTTACTTACTAAGCCGTGGCTGTGAAATAAAATCTCTTGAAATAGCTAAAACATGTTCCTTAGTGGCTTGACGTTCCCCAATACTTTTCGAATACATTTTGACGAGTGAATTTTCTTGGTATGTTACGTCGGTCAAACAGCAGAAGGTACTGCTGCTACTATTTCGATGAAGGAAGACGGACTAAATATTAAGGGTGGGGATAACTTCAAAAATCCTATGTAAACTAACTAAAATGTTACCAATATTTTTTCTAAAATTAATTAAATACATCAACACGAGTAAAGAACAAATTTTTTATTAATTATGAGGACTTTTAAATGAGGAAATTTTCCATTTATATGAATTTTACTTTGATAAATTGATAGATATAATAAATAGCAAGTATCTGACAAAGATAGAAGCAATGGCACGTGCGATCACGTGGCTTATACTAAGTAATTCAGTGAATATTTATTAATAACAAAACTTGTAAAAATATGTGTTATAAATAAATATACCATAAAAAAAATATTAAGCGATATTTGTGAAGAAAGATCGTAAACTTTTATTAGATATATGTACATTCTTTGGATTATGTACTATTCGCTACATGTTATAGCGGTTTATTCAATTATGAATACTTTAATGGAAATCTTAATATTTAATAATTCATCTCAGAAAGATTAGTATTAAAGAGAGACAGAAAGAGTTTTATATACATTTTTCTTATTTTAATTCTGGATCTTTTATTTATATACTTCAATTTTTCAAATGAGTAACATTTTAACAAATACATTTCAATAAGTATTACAAATATAAAATCCATAAAACTATCTGGCAGAAAAAAATTGTCGTAAACATGTTATTTAAAATTTCTTCATATATTTTGATAAAAGATATAGTGTCCATTTTTAATTAGACAAGATGTTATAAAATTTGTGTATTTCTAGTCTTGACCCAATTCATTATGTATACATAATGGTACTGCTTTTAGTTGCGGACCTGACAGCAATAATTTCGCGCCGAGAAAGTGCGAGTGTGCAGTGAGACACGGTGGCGGCTGGTTCGAGGATATATACGTGAATTTAAAAAGGTCGATTCGTTTAAGTTAATGTTCTAAGAGATTTTTTAACATTATTTTTTTAAGTACTCAAATTTTGTATATCATTGTATAATCGATCTATAGAAATAAGTTTTTATCGTTGTTCCAATCGACACTGTGTACTCGTGCTTCACTGACAGGAAAATACTATACTGAACCATGGCGGCTCTTAAACGAATAGTCAATCTATCTAAAAGTCTTAAAACGATGACGACTACGTCTCGTTTGTGCTGTTCCCAAACATCGAAGAAGACCTATTTTACGTACGTGAACGAACCCTCTATGCCAATATTAGACAAGGAACCGTGCTGGCTCAAAACTGCCGATGAAGCGATCGAGAAAGCAGAATTAGATTCTGGTAATTACTATTCCTCGTAATACATTACGTGTACGTCAATACATTAGATATTTTGTTTCATTATTTAATTCCCTTTTTAAAGCCATATTATTTAATGAAAAAATTATACTTTTCGAAAACTAACCTCAAACTATTGTAAGAGTAAATCCAAATGTCAACGATTTTTTTGACATAATTATTTGTTTATCTTATCTATAAAAAAAAGAATGTATTTTTCAGATTTATATATTTGTTTCCGAAGAAGAGTAAATGTCAAAGCAAATTTTCAATACTGATCTTAATCTTATCTTTCTGTTTAAGTAAATAGTAATTTATACCAAATTATGTCGAGTTTTATTCTTATCATCTGAAATCTTTTACATTACTAGTGATTTTATCAGGTTCGTTTTATCAGGTTATAAATTTAAACATTATCTCATGTCTAAATAACACATCAACTTTAGTAATTATCTATTACTCTTATGCTCTTATTGGTTGTCATATTCGTGTTTGTATATAAAACATTTCTTCAAAATATTATTCTTATAATGGATTATAAGATTTACAACACCAAATTATCAATACATTAAAATCAACTGCGAATATTCTTTTTTAAATTCAGTCCTTTTTCCAAAAGGTTGTTTATGCTCAAATTATACCGTCTTAATATAAGAAGGTAATATATTTGTTATGTTTAAGACTCCCATGTATAAGTTAAAATTTTATATGAATGTTTCATTTACGAACTCTTCAACGAACGCTTCATACCAGCGTTTCAAGGGTCATCTAAGTAGATTAATACTGACGTATTTGATAGCTGTCAGATTATATAGGGAGAGAAATAGAAAGAGACAGAGCTCATGTTTTACATTCATTACCGATCAGAAATTTTCAACGATTCTATCGATTAATCAATCGATTGTAATTAAACATTCCCACATTGAAAGTTTTATTATTTTATGGAACGTCATCAAAATTACAGTATGAAAAATGAAAAATATGATTTTTATGTGATGTACATACTACATACATATGTACATATGTATATGTTATACGTAGACTTCTTTTTCTTTCTTTTTTTTATACGTAGGGAAATCGTCATAGACACCCCCCCCCTCCCGCTCTTCTGGAAAGCGGCAGGGTAGTGTCGGACTTTACCGACTAAAACCCCAAGGTGGACCGCCTGACGCTCAGGTGGGATGCCCTGGGATCTTTTTCGAATTACTGCCGGAGCACTCCTGCGTCTTCTCCTGTCTGAGGCAGTCGTTCCTTGGTTAGTTCGGGCATTGAGAGGGACCATCCCTCTCAACGCTGTCCCCTGAGACGTCGTGCAAGTCTGAGGAGATCCAGATCCTCCTCGGCGTGTCGGCCTATGATCACCTAGGGCAGCGTAGAGCCGTCATTCGGTGCGGAACCTTGCAAGGGTGGGATGTTATACGTAGACCGCGAATATTTATGCAATTCAGATATTGTACGAAATAAAATTGAAATGTAATATACGAAAATATGTTACAATAATGAGATCTTTAATATTTAAACATTATTATTATAACTTAAAATTGAATAACTTATAAGCATTTTTGCTATATTAGCGGCAGTTAGTCAATAACTTTTATCACTTAAAATTGATTCGACCTATAGTTCGGTATAATGAGAATATAACTTTATTATCATTATTTATGTTGTTCTAAAGCTGGAATTTCTCTGGAGTTTCTCTGGAATTTTCACTTCAACATAATTTCTTATCCGACATTTCCTGTTATTTACCTTTACAAGAACTTTATACAGCAGTTATAAAAAGTAGTATAAAAAATAATTTATCCATTGTATTTATTATAGCATTTACATACGTTCATGCGACTAAAAATTTGATATTATGGAAATAAAATGAAGAATCTGATAAAAAACGCGTCATTGAAAGCAAAGGGTATGTGTAAATATCTTCTTTAACCACTGTATATATAATACCATATACATATCATATGTAGCCTGTTAATATTAATAGTTAATACGCTTGTTTATAGAGTTACAATTGTCAAGTATAGAACATCATATAAAATGATGACCTCGACACGCATATTCATCAAGCAAATATGCATTTTGATCGGCGAACATTATTAGTTTTGATGAAGCGCGCAATTACGCATAGATCAAATTTCATCTATTGTACTTGCGGATCTAGTTTTCATTTATAAAATCTTGATCATCTATAAATTGCGTAGAATAAAAAATTGTATTATCAAAATTTGAAAAAATACTTATCAATATCATTCCTATTTATAACCCGGAAGTTATTACATAATCAAAATATACGTACACAGTAATGAATATGATGTTATGATGTTCAATTTACATAAATTACGATAGCAAATTTTTATCAGGATAACTATGACTCTTTTCTCAAGACGGAAGAATGCTAGATAAATCATTTACAAACGACTGTCATCTTTGAACTACTACAATAAATGTTATTATTTACACCTATAGATATTCACAGTACTATAGAAGCATAATTGTATTCTATAGCGAATAGAACATTGAAATAGAATACGTCGTGTATGCACATTTATACATATGTATGTATGCTCCTAGCAGCGACTGAATTAGAAGTGTTTACTACTCCCAGTCCAAGCAGGCTTTATACAGCCTCTTTATATTTTTCAGATCAACTCGTATTTGTCCAAGGTGCAGCAGCTACACCCACTGAACTGTTAAGGGCGATGACTGAATATGGTGCCCGATGTGACGTGAGAAATGTACGACTGTTTCACATGCATCTTGAGGGTGAGGCATCGTTCGCTAAGCCAGAAAATGCAAGTAAGTGATATTGTGATTTCTTTCGCGTTATTCGATCCAATATAATAAATCGAAACAAAAATCATATTGTTAAGAATATTTGATTACATATTATAGCGCTTTGTATGCAGAGCATTTCAGATCTATCAGCTTCTTCATTGGAGGCAACGTGAGACCAGCTGTTCAAACGGGTCACGCCGACTGCATTCCAATTTTCTTGCATGAGATCCCACGAGTATTTAATGAAGGATATATAAAACCAGATATTGCCCTTATCCACGTTACTCCACCTGATCACCATGGATATTGCTCACTTGGTACTAGCGTAGATTGTGTACGATCTGCTGTGAGCAATTCTACACGCATCGTAGGTAAATTTTCGAATCTTCTCAAACTCACTCGACATACTAGAATTGTCCTATGATTAATTCTTCTTCTTCGTTATCTACAGCTTTAGTGAACAAATATATGCCAAGAACATTTGGCGATGCTATAATTCATGTCAGCCATTTGGATTTCGCTGTGGAGCATCACAAACCACTTCCGGTGCATCCCGTGAAGCCGCCGTCGAAAGAGGAACAACAAATCGGTAAATATATCGCCGAAAATTTAGTAGTAGACGGAGCCACATTGCAAATGGGTATCGGAAGCATACCAGACGCGGTTCTGTCGCTTCTGACGAGTCACCAAAATCTTGGAATTCATAGTGAAATGTTTAGCGATGGTGTAGTAGAGTTAGTGAAAAAGGGATGTATAACGAATAATCGCAAAACAATGCACAAAGGTAGAATCGTCGGTTCGTTCTGTGTTGGATCAGAGAAGTTGTACGATTTTATGAACAATAATCCCTTTATAGGTAGGTATATTTTATACTGTCTTCTTTTTGTAATGAACATGGACAAATACCACTTGATGGATTTTATAGAAATGTTGGCAGTGGATTACGTGAACGATCCAAAAATAGTAGCCAAACAACCGAATATGACGGCTATTAATTCGTGTATAGAAGTTGATATTACTGGTCAAATTTGCTCTGATAGCATTGGAACTAGGATGTATTCTGGATTTGGAGGACAATTAGATTTCATTATGGGTGCCGCTCTTAGTGAAGACCGTCAAGGAAAGCCTATCATTGCATTACAATCAGTTACCTCGAAGGGTGAAAGTAAAATTCAACCCGTCTTAAAGTCAGGTATGTAATTATTATTATTAAGTATTCTTGTTTCGACCAAGACCTCTACTTTTGTTGTTCGTTGTAAGGTGCTGGTGTTGTTACAAACAGAGCAGTTGCACGATACGTGGTCACGGAATATGGAATTGCCAGTTTATTCGGTAAAAGTCTTCAACAACGATCATATGAACTAATTCAAATCGCCCATCCCGATCACAGAGAAGCGTTAGAAAAAGCGGCATTTGCACGTTTAAAAGTGATGCCAGCGCCATAAGCAGATTGACAACAATATTCGAAGGATTTGTTTTAATAGCATTTCGTGATAGGTGTTTCTCATAAGCATAAACATTTGTATGCATCGACGAAAGTTATGATAAATTACATCATGATTTTTTAAATTTATGTCATCTTGTTAAAAGAACGGTAAAATGAACTTAAGAAAAGAAGTATCAAAAATAGAATTTCAACATCACGTTATAGCGAATTGCATTGTGGATATTTATGTAAAGACTTTCATTTTAGACAAGTCAAAAACATTCGTCTAAGAAATAGGAATAAAAAAGCTTTTACTTTAACCGGGTATTTAACTTTAAAAGTACAATCGAAATGTGGTTGATGAGAACCAAGATAGTATATAATAATAACGAATAATTTTTACACGAAATTTGAAGACGTTCCTGTGTAAATTAACGTTATTGTAATTGAGAGTACATAACATTTGAAACAATAAATTAAAAATAAAATAAATATAGAATATATATTATTTCGTTGTAATTATTTCCATCTGTACTTAATAAAGCATAAAACGAAAATGTTTGTTTGAATGTATATCGAGAAAATTGAAAAATCGAATACCGATAAATCCGACATTCAAATACTAATCGTGGAGATGGTAACGGATCTAATGTGATTTGACGTAAACTGACATTTAAGATTAAAGAAATTCTTTAGATTATGTGTCATCCAAATTTCGACGTAATTGCCGTATATACTCTACTGCATCAACAAGCAAATGCATCTTTAGCAAATTTTAATCGTTTATATATTTTTTGACGTCTCATATATTTTCTTTTATCAAAATGTTTGGACTTAATTTTCGTCGAAATTTGGAGTCAACATTTAACAAAATTTTACCGACAAAACCCTTTAATATGTGTGGCGTGAGGCATATACGAGAACCTTTACAACCTTTAAAACGATGTCCACGATGGGTTTGCGTAGAAGATGCAGTGAAAATTATCAATTCAGGTATTTAATATTGTATGATTATCTTTCTTCCATACTTAAACAGGTTTATATAAATATTATTTTATGACTAGACATACATTAAATTCATGTTATTCCAGAGCATCTTGTTTTTATACAAGGAGGTGCAGCAACGCCTAATGAATTAATACGTGCTATGACTGAACATGGTGTTTGCAATAATTTACGTGGAGTACGATTAATACATATGGGTCTTGAGGGTGATGCACCATTTGGAAGTCCTGAATTTGAGAGTACAGTATTTTATAACTTAAAATATTAGACATAATCGCTACACTCTATTATGTTCATAAAAATATAATTATCTTTCAGAACATTTTAGATCTGTAAGCTTTTACATCAGTGCTAATCTTAGAGAGGCTGTTAATGAAGGCAGAGCAGATTATATTCCAATATTTCTTCACGAAGTACCAAAACTTTTTTACGAGAAGAGAATTATTCCAGATGTTGCATTAATTCAAGTCAGTGTCCCAGATGCTCGTGGTTTTTGTTCTTTAGGTGTAAGCGTGGATTGTACGCGTGCTGCGATTAGTTCAGCCAAAGTTATTATTGGTTAGTAAGCATTTGGCAATAGATAACTGCTACATTTGAATAACAATAAAAATTTCTTTTTTCTTCATTCAGCTCAAGTTAATGAACATATGCCAAGATCATTTGGGGATACTGCTATTCATTCTAGTCATATTGATTGGGCTGTCAAATATGACTGTCCTTTACCATGCGTAGCTAGTACTCCACCAAATGAGATTGAGCAAGAAATTGGCAAGATAATTGCACAAAGGTTAATAGATGATGGAGCAACCTTACAACTTGGGATTGGTAACATACCTGATGCTATTCTCTGTTCTCTTGGTAATCATAAAGACTTGGGAGTGCATACAGAAATACTTGGTGATACAATGGTAGATTTAGCAGAACGAGGAAATATTTCAAACAAAATGAAAATAAAGCATAGAGGACGTACGGTCAGTTCTCTGGCAATTGGTACGAAAAGAGTATATGACTTCTTACATAACAATCCATTTGTAGGTGTGTACCTCGTCATTTTTTTAAATTATTAATATATACAAATTTCTTAATTTTGCAAATAACAAAGTATTTATGCGTTTCTGTAGAAATGCTTGCAATTAATTACGTAAACGATCCTCGAGTAATATTACAACAACCTAAAATGACAGCTATTAATTCTTGTATAGAAATGGATATTACTGGTCAAATATGTTCAGATAGTTTAGGTTGTAAAATGTACTCTGGATTTGGTGGCCAACTTGATTTTACTCGAGGTGCGGCATTGGGCCAGGATGGTCGAGGAAAAGCCATAATTGCGTTCCCTTCAGTAACAAGTAAAGGAGAAAGTAAAATTCAGCCAGTAATCAAACTTGGTATGAAAACGAATTTTATATCAACCATTTATGAAAAACAATCATTTATTTAGACTAAAATGATTGTTTAATATAATAGTTTGTAAATACAAAAAAGTCATATCGTCATCATGTAAATACGATCGAAATCTGTTTCATAGGAGGTGGTATCGTGGTAACGAGAGCACATGCACACTACATAGTTACTGAGCATGGTATAGCAAATCTTTTTGGTAAAACGTTACGTCAAAGAGCAAATGCATTGATTCAAATTGCTCATCCTGATCATAGAGAATGTCTCGAAAAAGCTGCGTTTGAAAGACTTAAATCTAATCCAACGAAATATTTATAATTTATATGTAAAAATTATATAGCTTATAAAATTTTGTAATACCATTTAATGCTCATTGCACATAGAAAAGGTTTTTTACCTTAATGTTTGTGTTACAAAATTTTTGCGTGAATGTCCTTTTTGCATAAAAAAAAAATGAAATAAGCAACAAAGACTTATAATTGTTATCATGAAGTTTGTTTTTACGAATCACTCGTTATACATATACAATTTGAATAAATAATTTATTTATTTCTAATTCTTATTTAAAAGACAAAGTAATATTTACGTATATATATACATATAAATGTGATTTTTTAATTTATAGATATAGCGCACACTTAATATTTTTCAAAAATTGATACCTTCTGGTAATGTTCCTTCTCGCCGTCTCTTTTCAACATTTTCATAGTATTCAGAAAAATTAACATAAGGCTTAATTCTAGAGTTTTTGTTTGTCGATTTTGCACCAGAAGGATACATATCTGATGTTGATGAAGTTTCAGTTGTTGAAAAATCGGAATTTTCTTCTGTAACGCTTGTACTTGAATACTCGTTCTCTAGCATTGTTGTAATCTGAGCAGATTCTACAATTGGGTTAAATCTGACTGATTGATTAGTTGGACTTTTCAATGCATGAGGAAGCGGGAAATTAAAATTTCGTACGAGAAGAGTTATATCATCTCGTTTACCAGTTGTTACTGTACTTTGTAAATTACTCATATTAATGTCATGATGAATTCTTACAACTTTATCTACAACAGCTTGAGCAACACCTGTTAAAGTGGACTGTACCTGAAACTGAAATTTATTTTGTGAGAATAAAAATATATTACTGTATGTATGATCAATAATTATTTCACACCTCTTGAACTGCAAAATTAATTAATTTTATATTAACTTGATCAACTCCAGTTACTTCCTCTAATGATTTATATAGACCACGAGACATAAGCAATAAAAATTTACAGGAGTCATCAAGTTCTATGCCGCCATGAATTTCTGGTTCTGCAATGACAGGTTCTGCTGTGGCAGATGCTAATTCTTCAAATTCTCTGTACCCCCCTTTGACAAGATAGTTCCCAAGACAACGTGTAGTTTCCTGATTTCCAATACGAGATCCTTTAACATAAATTATTATTAAATACCCCAAAAATTGAAGAATTATATTGAAATTAAATATGGTTTTTAAAAATTACCTTGCCTTATAGAATCAATATCCAATTCTAAATGAGACAATCTTAACAATTCATCTTCATTCCTTAAGTCATGATCTACACTTAGTTGTACAACTCTTAACACTTGATTAGCATCTGTTTTGCATAATAAAGCTCTACTGTCGCCAACATTAGCAACATATAATTTTCCACGATATATAAGAGCTACAACTGCACTAGTTCCTGCTGATAGCTCACAATTTAAAGCATTTAACTTATCAACCTAATAAAATCTTAAGCTGTAAACAATATTTGATATTTTCAAAATTCGTATAATAAAATATACTTAACCAACCAAATGCGGAAACTTTTGATAAGTTTCATAGGAATTTAATCCATCGGGTATATCAAATTGCAAACTGGTCCGTTCAGCCAAAAGGTCTCCAATAGAATCTAAATATCCTCTTTCCACAGCTATAAACGCCTGTCTATATTAATATATTCCACAACTTTATTTTTCTTACAAAAATGTAATAGCCATAACTTACAATTTTCATTACAGCTATACTTTACTTTATTACCTAAGAACCTCTTTAACTTCTTCATCTGTTGATTTACCATTTAATTGTCCAAGTAATATCTCTGCAGCCATTCGCTGCATAGCAAAATTTGCAACTTTTGTGCCTTCATGCCCATCAAATACTCCATAAAGGAACGTTGAATCGTCATAGCGACAGTGAAAGCTACGATCTTCAAATGGATGTTCCTCCTGTCTATACCCATCCTCACGATAAATTATATTCGTAGAAAATCCTACACCTAATAAAATATTTGGAAGGTATAAACATCAAACAAGACCGTTTCTAGGTTATGTTATTGAACTTTTACACACCAGATTGTTTACATACTGGCAAATCATCCGTCCAACTATACTGAGTATCCTGAAAAGGTATCAAATTAGGGCGTTCTGCCCTAGTTGGCATTGTTAAAGAAGATGAAGTAACTTCAACAAAAATTTCAATTGATATACATGTGGACTTACGTTTCTAACATATCGACTGCATATCGATTCATATCGACTAAATATATCGAAAAATCCACAACAATCGATTAAATTAATTTAAATCAAATATTTCAGAAGGCAATACTTCTATTATTCTTCAATTACTATATTTTATTTAAAGCTTTTATTATCTATATTAGTTAATCCATGGTTATCTCTCTTTCTCTCTCTCTCTCTCTCTCTCTTTCTCTATATATATATATATATATATATATATACGTCTAATATAACGACACATTTATATAATGTACATACAAGTTATTAAATAAAATTATATGTATATGTGCACATAAAATTTTATTATTGCCTTTCGAAATGGATTATTTCAATTTTTTCTTTTCTTTCATATTCCGATAAGTTTATCTTTATTTCCTATGTATTATCACAGACGAATATGTATTATTTTGTATTTTGTAAAAGTTTTAGTTTTTTAGACAACAGGAATATACCATAAAAAACAAAAGCAACTCTTATTACGAACTTTTATCCTACCTGCCAAATTATATGACGTCTCGACCAATTAATAGTAAAAATTTTAGTAATTAATAAACAATTAAATTAATCGACATTGAATATGTGACAATTTTTAATCGCATCGTAATGAATCACGATTACTAGTCTTACAAAATACTTGGTAGTATGAAGATGTAAAAGGCGCTTTTCAAAATATCAACCAAAGTAACATTTATTAACAGAAGGAAATAAATTATTCAACAGGTTATTGCACACGGAGTATTCTAACGGAAATATTTTTCTATGTTTTTCGTTGTACAAAAAGTATAACGAATGTGATATTAATATTAATATTTAATATTTTTTACTTTTAATTTATAAAGGAGAAAATGAGTCGACGGCCTCAGTTAACAAAAACTGAACAACTTCGTCAGGCCAGAACTGCATCACTTGTAAGAGATATCGAACTAAGAGAAGATGCAGCATCCAGACACCAAAGAGACGCATTCAAAGTACGCAGGCGGATGGTTAGACCTGAGCCAAAAAAAGTAGACTTCAGTAAACCAGGAATGACTAAAGCAATGCTAGCTAGAGTAAAACATGCTCAGAAATTTAAAGAAGAATATGAACGCAAGCAAGAATCAGTTACATCAGTTCGAACACCTAAAAGAACACCTGCACCAATAGGAGGTGATGCCAGGTCGCGATGATAGTTAAATTTGATTGTAACAAACAACATGATATTTGTCAGATGGATAACAAGTTCCTCTCTCTTTAATTTGAATTATGTTTCTCATATCATATTTATTTCATAAAATATTAAATAATATAACAAAAAATGAATTAACTAATTCTGCAATTTCCATTACCATATATTTAATGTATAAAATTATTATGTATAAAATTACTTCAAATTAGGATGGGCAGGGAAAGAACACCAGGTAGAAAGACTCAGCGTATAACACCAGCTACAACTCCTCGAAGAGGAGTCTCACCACCTAGAAGAGAATTTGAAACTGTAGCCAGTCGTTTACCTTCTCCCATAAAAACTCCAAAGACACCAAGATTACCTGCAAAAGCTCTACCTAGAAAAACTACTGAATTAGCTAAAATGATGAATGCTGATATAATTCAGGCTGATCCAATTGGTGAAGGAATAATTAGTAATATTGTGATACCTCCTGGAATAGTGAGCGAAGATCGTACTACCATTGTTAATATATCACAACCACCTGTGGATCCTGAATCAAAAATAGTATCACAAGTGGCTAATCGTTCGATTCAAGTGATCAGGTGATTTCATAAAATTCTTTTCCTTCTGATAATGATAACATGACATATTTCATCATTGATAGTGAAACTCTTGATGAGCAAGATGCTGCTGAATCTGCAGCGGTACAAAATAGACTAACAGAATTACAACAAGCTAGAAGAGATTTTGTTATTGCAGTTGCAAATGTTGGTGGAAATGCTCTTCATCTTGAAGATGAAAGTCGTCCCACCACTGTTCTTGATTCTACTCGTATATCCCCTGTACTTCAACCCACTCCACAAAAAAGGATTATACGGTAATATTTCAAATAGAGCACAGTTAAATAAAACTCTTATAGCTATTACACCTAATAATGGTATTTCTATAGAGTCCCTGAGTTAGAGGACCTTGAATATACTATCGATCACCCAGATGTTATTGCTGCGCGTGAATATATGCAAAAATTTAAAGCTGACATGGAAGCAAGAGAAGCAGCTAAAAGAATGGAAGAAGAATTTGAAAGAATGGCAGCAGCAGAACATATGTCAGATGAATTAGATTTAGATATTCCTTTTGAAGAAGAAATTTACCAAGAGAGAGATATCTCTTGGGAAGAAGATGAAGGTGGCATGGCTATGCCTCGTCCATCTAGAATAAAAGCTCAAATTTCTCCTATTCCTAAACAACAAAGACCTTATCAATATGAACCCTTTGAGCCAGAACAATTAGAAAAATTCTTTGATGTTCAAACTTATCCACCTTGCCCACAATGTGGGCCACCACCAGGTAGGGAACACTTACATCCTGACTTGTGGGAATTGGAAGACCCATGGTACAAAAGACCTCCAGAACCTGATATGCCAGACTTAATAGAGTTTGAAGAATCTGACCTAATACGTTTCTAAAGTTTACCATATACAATTTTTTATAACAATTTGTTGTAAAATATTGATATCTAATATAATGTATAACTACTACACACATGTAAATAATAATAATAGTGATAATTATTTTTTAATAATGCAATGTGTAATCACCAAAATTTCATATTTAACAAAAGCTGTTAAACATAAAATTTTTTATTAATTAAAAAATGAAAGTCATTCATAAATTTATGTTTGTGTAATATTATTTATATATACATAAAATAAGTTTTTATTGCTTGTATTTTTCAACTAAATTTATGCAAAACCGATGTTGTAAATTTATTGATAAATATAGCTAACCATCGATAACCAATAAAATACTTATAAAAAAGTGAAAAATATAATATGTAATGAAATTACTGATGATCGAAATCGAGATATATCGATTATCGCGTACTTGAAATGTTACTTTAACTTGCATTGACTAACGTGGTAGATGTAAATACACGGTAAACAAGTGCATAAGATGAGTGATCGACAAATTTAGTAACATGTTTCGTTACTCTCACTATTTCGATTTAAAATTGAAAAAATTATCCAGAACTTTCTGTGCCGAATGTAATATTTATTAACAGTTGTGCGTGAAATTTTATTTAATTATGGAGTTCTATTATTATATTTATTTGCTTGACACATGTGCATATCTATCGTGGACTTCTTAATTGTACATATTTCAAATATTTATAATGGACGTACCCTAAAAATTAATTAATTATAATTGACAATAAATTATATTTATATATAAGTACTACGAGTATAATGGCGACACCCACTAACGGTAACGGTAATCTCATCGACGAATTTGAGGAAGCATTTCAGGTATGATATAAGTAGTATGTTTCAATATAATTTTTTAAAACGATATTTTGGTAAAATTACAGATTTGTTTTTTCTTTCATTTGTTTTGTTTTAACATAAAATACATTTTGCAGCAATGTTTGAGTATATTAATAACGAAAGACGAAGGGTTAGGAAACAATGGAATTGGAGTGTCAGGTGGTTTGACTGTGGATAAAGAAGAAGCACGTAGTGAAGTTGAACAAGTCACGCTAAGATTTATAGATCTGGCAAGACAGATGGAAGCTTTCTTTCTGCAGAAACGATTTTTGTTGTCTGCATTGAAACCAGAATTAGTAATAAAAGAAGATATCAATGATCTTAGAGTAGAATTAGCACGTAAAGAAGATCTCATAAAAAGGCATTATGACAAAATTACAGTATGGCAGAATTTATTAGCAGATCTACAAGGCTGGGCAAAGTCTCCAGCTCAAGGTCCAGCACCTAATGGTAAGAATCATAAAAAAATGTTAAGGAATGATAATATAGTAAATAATTTTAACGTACTTTAGGTTTACCAAATGGTACTCAAACTGGACAGAACCAACAAAGTGCCAATGGAGGTGGAAATGCAACGATGCAACAACAACAGCAAATATTACAGCATCAGCAGCAACTCCAACAGCAACAACAACAGTTGCAACATCTACAACAACATCAAATGCAACAGCAACAACTTCATCAGCAACAGGTATTTAAGTAATACCGTTACGAGCAAAGCTGAAACTCCTGTATTCAGGCAGCTGTCTAAAATTAGCGTTGAAAAATTTTTTTTAAAATATCCCATGCAATTTAGAAAGAAAAAATGTACGGCAGCGAAAATTGTATATTTACAGAAAGCTACTTTTGCTGTAGCAGTTATAGTTAGAAGTTACATCTTAAATCATCAGTCTTTAAGATCTGTCTCACTTTAGTTGTAAAAAGAATTCAAACATTATCAATACTGTAAATTATTGAATTTGTTTATACAAAGTATTGCAGTTACACATACACGTATATCACAAGCTTATTTATACTCACCGTAATGTTCTCATTTCAAAATGGTATATTTATTATTACTAGATTTCTATATTATTTGTTACAATTTAAAACTGAATGAATATTAATGTTGGATGATTGTATGTATCTGTGTGTATGCATGTGTGTGTGAATGATAAAATGTATATAAATAGATTAAATTATAAAGTAATCTTTTTGTGATTGAAATACTTATCAGAATTTTAGAAACTATTTTTGCTCCTTTTTTTTTGAAGTAACAGCTATTCAGGACACAAAACCATTCAGTCCTATTGCACAAAGGCAACGTGTACCAGTGTTGCATATAATCAGTGCCTTATATAATTCCTATCGACAGAAATGTAATATGTAAGAACTAAAAACTTGAAGTGCTTTTAGTAGCTGCGATATAAAATTACAAAAACATAAATTTCATTTATAAGAAAGGAAAGTACTAAATAGATACACTTACATAAATATGTTGTAAAATGGTGCCAAAATAATTGCTATTAAAATGTGTACAAATATTTAGCCAAAAACTGATATAATAAATCTGATAATGGCAATAATAAAAGAAAAATAAGCATATTACTTTTGCTTAACATTAATAGCACACCTAATAATCCCTACTACCTTTAAACATATTAGTAACAGGTAGTGATACTTCAAAAGTATATCATTTCATAATTATTCAAAATTAAACTATATACCCCACAAATATGTACACATCTGTTTATATATTTTCTTTCATATAACATAGTATAATTATTTATGTCACATATTGAAAATTGTTATAAATTTGACATATTTTTCAATATTTATAAATTTCCTTGTTTATAATACAATGAATATCTTCTGCATGTAAACATGTATGCATGTATTTTGCATCAATGTAAGAGCTATCAAGGAAAGACATAAAAACTTAATTTATAGTAAATTATGAAAATTACATGTCAAAAAATTTATTTTATTTATTCTTAAAAATTTTATGAATTGACATGTACTTTTTTAATATAATGTTTAGACATGGTATTGAATTAAAATATTGCAGCTATTCATAAAAGCGAAAAAAGATTATGCCATTTTACTTATGTTTTTACATGCAAGTAGATGTTTGCAGAATAAATCTCTATTCATGGCAAAAAACATTGTGCTTTCTTTCATTTCCCTAATTACTGTTCCTAATACATCCTACTGGCTTGTAAGGATCGGAACTCTTAATTTCACTATAGACTTACATATTCAAGTATATTGCATGTGTGTTTCATTTGTGTACAGCATTTCTAAGATTTTCATCTTTTAATCATTTCACTGCTATCTTTGATCCTCCTAAATGCTTAGTTTTTATTTAGCATCATTTTCTATGATACAATAAAATTTATGTTCAAAAAATTGTTTATATCAAATGTATATTGATAAGAATATAATGATAGAATATATATGTGACGTAAAATTGCAGGTACAACAAGGGTCTGGTGCACCTCCCACATCGGGTCTTCAAGGAGTTGGGGTCTCAGTTGGACAACAAGGAATGTTCATGACACAAGGGGGAGTAAGTGTGACTGGAACACGGGGTGGATTTCCCGTCGCAGGTGTAGGAAGTAGTGCTCTCCAGGGTCCTCTCGCTTTCCTGGAAAAGACAACGAGCAATATAGGAATGCCCGAAAGGCGGAGTTGACGCGGAA